CAGCGGTATGGTCCAATTTGATCAGCGTTTGCTCAACCTCGTTTCTCTCAGGATGATCCTTCCCCAATAGGCGGTTCAACACGCCCGGTAGTGTCGTGTGCGAATCTACCTCCGGCGGCGCAACCGGAGTGGCCGGGGGGACAATGCAAACCTTGAAGTGGGACAGCAGGTAATGAACAGAGACAGCATCTTGCAACAGCGAGTTGTGGGCCGCTACTCGATAGGCTAGACGTCCAATATAGTGCCTGGTGCCGGCAAAGGGGCCTTTTTTGTCGTTTAAGCCTCGCTTTCGCTCTTCGCGCTGCGCTGCGGCAGACAAAATGGGCATGAAATCTGATTTGGCTGCAGTCCAGGCGGAACGGCATTGTTCGACCTCATCGTATGGTGAAATCAGGATGGAGTCGAGCCATGCAGATAGCACCTTGTCTTGATGTACGAAACGACAAGTTAACTACTGAACGGTAGATGAGACCATATGCCCGCACACGGGCACATGGTTTTGGACGCACCTGTTCTTGAAGCGTCCTCTTTGAGCGCTGCTTGACAGCGTAGGATGTCTTTTGCTAGCATCGCTTTGTCCTTCGCGATACGTGATCGGGCGTATGTGACGCAAAAGGACAGCAGGTTTGTTCTGTCCTCACTGATGTCGCTGCCTTCTCTCTGTCCAACCTCTATTCGATGCAAAGTTGTGAGAACAGTACGGAGAAAATCTGCCGACCTCCGAGTCGATTCTTCCTCATTCGAGGAAATCCAGAACTTGTAGCAGTTTTCAGCGTTTTCAGTGGCAATAGCGGTGCAGGACGTCCCGCCCTTGTTAAAATCGCAGAGGTACGCCAGGTTGTCCATGAACCTTCGGCGAGAAGCCTCCAGTTCGTTTCGGGCCGTTGAACCGGTTGTATGACGACCTCGAGTCTGTCCGAGGGCCCTGAGCAGGAACAAGGGCTCGTAAAGCCTGCTGAGAAGTCTTCGGTAAGGGTTGAGCCTGGGGGCTCCAATTCTGCCGGCTGTGCGCTGCAATGTTGGTCCTCCATCGGCGTGCGTAGGATATGAGATGGACGGGGTAGCCATGGTTCAATAAGACTAAGATTGAATAAGACAAAACAATATGTCAGTGATCGATTGGTGATGATGGAGTCGCCAAGTTTACGAGGTTTTTAACTGGCATGAGAAATTGGGTCGAGTGGACATCCCGCGAATTTATAGTCTTTGAGCAAACTGAAAGATTTCGCTGACGTCTCCCACTCAGACTCATTAGTTTCAGAGAACTCGAAAGTCTAGCATGAGATACGGAAAGAAGACCTGTGATATCCACTTTTATGCCGCTGGCCAAGCCGGCATGTTAGGTTGCAACCTTGGCAGCGCCTTAGTCCACAACGCAATAAAAAGCGAGTGAAAAGAACCAGAGTCCAAGATACCACACGATCCGCCTTCAGTATGCACGTTACCCTTGATTACTGACTGACGTGCTCTCCACACATGATCCCCTACACAAGATAGTGCTATCACTCTTCCATCGTATGTGCCCGTTGGTTTGACCAGGCAAGATTAGCATTTCTGCGTCTCAGTGAACTTAGCGCAGCTAATTGGTTCTAACTATCGCCAAAGGTCACGATTACTGGCCAGCCAGGAGTCATGCTGACCGGCCTCCTGCATATGCAAGGTAGTTCCTCTCCTGGATACGAATAGAGTGCCGCATATGGGTGGGGCTCAGCCCGTCATGAGAGGATTCATAGAGTGAAGATCAGAGTTACGCTCTGGCGCATCTATACGCACATTATTTACTTTACCCCGCATTCTTCCTACCCTGCTCCAAAAGTAGCATTATTATAGGCTGAACCAACAACAACTTGAAGCAACCCCGCCATTCGCATCAAGTGGACACTCTTAAGTTCCCACCGTAGTGACGTGGCAAAGCGCGGAACGGGCTCACCGCACTAGCGTGGAAGGTTGCAGCTGGTCCGCGGATGTGATGCGCATGGAACAGATCAGCCGCAAACCACAAGACCTCGATGCTTCCTTTGTATCATACGACCAGTGCGAGGCCAGCGCGGGACTAGCTAAGTTCATGAAACCGCACACACCTATCTCAGCAGTGACGTGTTGCGTAACGACGCTCTTGTCACGGCCACAGCATTGGATTCGTTAAGGAAAGATCCTTCATATTCTATCTAAATGAGAGACCAAGGTTGTTCTCTTACAGTGGTTTTCTATCGTAGATAACATTGAAGGTCTGTAGGTAGTACCGTTGCTGTCTTACACTACTCATATTGTTGTGTTCACGCTGGCCGTGAAGCTATCCACAACTAACCCGACAACAACAAGCCACAAGAAGGCCGGCACAAGCCAGTCTGCTACACAAGCGAATCGAACCGACATCGAAATCCGGAAGACCAACATCATCGCTGCGATCATGCGCAGCTAAGATAACATATGCCACACAACTTGCCTCTGGCTTGAATGTAGGTAGGCACGACGTGATGACACCTGGAGGCTGACGGCTGGTCCATACGTCCTGCGGTGTCTGTCGTCGAAGTACACAACGCCCGACTGGCCCCATTGGGGAAAAGTCCCATTGGGCATTTTTGACTTTAGCGATTAAGTTTTGATTAACTTTTAGGCGTGCCATTTCGCATGAAGGATGCCGACCATCGTCTGGAGCAGAGAAAAATGAACGTTACCGGTACTCATTTGAGAATCTGATAGTTACGTAGAAAGCACTGTCTTGAAGCATGGCTTTTGCTTCAGTGCCATACCATTCTAGGAGTTGCAAATATTTTGCCAGCTACATTCCTAATACATTCATACCTACGTATTGTTTCCCGAACTCAAGACGATTGATGCGGCACATCAACCTGCCAGGGAGACTAAAGCCGACCAGGAGCTGGATGATTCGATAGGTAATACCGCTGTCCTGCGATGCCGAGACTCTGGAGCCCTGCCCCCCTCCCCCCCCCCCCAGTCTATTAGATTCAGAGGGGAACGAGAGCGAGGGTTGTCTGATAAAACCAAATCCAGTAAAGCGGAATGAAGTCCAGCCGCTCCGAGTCTGACTGCTGCAGCTCATCTCAATAATCACCTGCGTGAAGCCGACAATCAGCAGGCTGCCCTTTATAACGAGACTTCTGGGCCACTAAGGACTATGACATCAAGCTAAGAAGGGCGCCACTTCAAGGTCAACGTTGATAACGTGTTTGTTTATTGCTCGTGATCTTCCCTGCGAGACCGTGACCTCTTTTTATAGCTCTGCTGCTCGCTGAAAATGTGAGACCAAGGATTTTCGCAATGTACAGAAAGTCATATGGCCGGCCTTGCCGGTCTGGCAACTTGAAATCCACGCTCTTGAGGTTCCGTGCGGAAGAACCTTCCGCGCATCCATTGTCCAACCTTCCATTCTCAAAATAGCACGCGCCAGGTTCTGAACGACGCGCGACTATTGTCGCCCGGACCCTGCGGCTCACTATGGCCAAGTTACTCTCCCGAGGTATACCATAGTAGCGGTTTACCTCCCGCACCGTTAGTCTATGTCGGCTCTGGGCGAAGCCTCTGACAGGGCGAAATCAACATCGAACTATGAACCATCCGTCTACGTGTCAGGTTCTGTCCTGCTAACTGCCCCCGAGCTTGAGCCCGCAGCTGGTAGGTGACTCCATCCCGAGGCTGAAGGCGTTGCTACTCGTGTTCGGAGTTCCCGGAAGAATGTTGAAGGCTCCTGGGCCTGTAAAAGTACCTGCTGGCTCGGGCTCTTTAGGTAGTCGCCGGCCGTTGTCGACGGGCGAGACGCAAGGTCGCCCAGATTAAAGGCCTGTGATCTCAGAATCAGCGACACGCCTCGAAGGGGGGGGATGGCTTACAAGTGGTGATGCGGCTGCCGCTCTGCCGCTACGCTGGTTTCAAGCTGTCTTGTAAAATAATCATATTGATTTAACCATGTAGCCCGGGACAAGGACCGCCGTATGGAGTCCAAGCATCGCATATCCAACCCATTGCCTAGTGACTTCTGTGGCGGATGACACATTGGTGTGGTTTAGCAGTACGCCAATCACTCGTACTGCGGAGAAGACTGCTCGCGTCGAGGCGAGCTCTATTTCTGAAACCCCAAGTCCAAAGAGGGAAGCTCGAGAGCAATCACAATGGATAACTGCACAATGGGAAACCAGTGCAGCCCGCCGATAGCACTGGCCCCAGAAGGGGCCATATGTGAGGCAGATTGCGGGAGGTGGTCTGACAAGTCCGCTGAAAGCGAGACAAGGTATGCTCACCTGTGACCTGGGCTCGTACAGTGTTTGGTTTTGGATCTTACGCGCAAGGAGGGAATGAATACGTTTCAACCACAATCAGGAGCGTTGCGACAGCCAGGATGACGCGGTAGTTAGGCAAGTATATGAACAGAACCAGCTCGTATGCCAGGCAAAGAAACGCTGAAGAGTCACAATGCGAACCCCGTCGTCATGTCACCGGCTGTCATTGTGACGGACCGCAGGGGCACGTTGCTCACCACCAGCAGAGCAGATAGCACCAGAAATATCGGCACGGCAATAATAGCAAGGTTGACCAGGGAGTTGCTCAACATGTAGACCGCACGAGGGTACCCTAGCACTTGAGGCATAAACTGCATGCTCATGGAAGCATTGGTGACATATATGCCGCCATCGATGCCCTTGCGGAGGTAAGCACCGCCGACCGGGCGCGCCTCCCCCCCCCCCCCCCCCCCAGAAAAGAAGAAAACCTCAGGCAAGCTTTCTAATGGCGTGAACATAAAAGCCAGTGAAATCTATCGGCGGATGAACGATTCAGTAATGGTTACGCGCGGCAGCGCTAGCCACCATCAGGGGTACGCGATTTGGCTACCCTACGCCGCTCATCACTAGATGCGGATGTCAGATTATGCCGCATCAACGACCAGACGAGACACTGACAATAACCTGTGCCGGTAATAAGCCCAGACATCAACCACCGCTGCCGCTCACCTCACTTCGCGCCACTTCACATCCACCTCCATCATGGCGGCCTCTCCCGCTTTGGCCCGGGTCAGGGCGGCCATCAACGACCGAATCGCCTCCATCCCAGGCTTCAAGGGCCTTCCCCCGCAATCCATCCTCCTCATCTCCACCCTCATTCTCGTCAATATCCTCGTCTGGCTCGCCGTTGCCCTGCCCATCCTCACCACCCACCCAAAGCTGGCGGCCCCTGCCGCCATATCCTGGACCCTCGGCCTCCGCCACGCCCTCGACGCAGACCACATTGCCGCCATCGACCTCACCACGCGACGCCTCATTGCCGCAGGCCAGCGCCCTGTCTCTGTTGGCACATTCTTCTCCCTAGGCCACAGCACCATTGTCATCATCACATGTGTCGTTGTCGCGGCGACAAGTGGTGCTCTGAGAGAGCGGTTCGACGGATTCGCCAAGGTAGGCAATATTGTCGGTACGAGCGTCAGTGCTGCCTTTCTCATCGTGCTGTGTCTTGGCAACGGATGGGTGCTTCATGGCCTGGTCCGACGACTACGAGCTACGCTCGCCGCACAGCGGGAGAGCGGGATAGCGGCAGGAGAGCAGCAACGGATGACCCAGGATGATGTACAGCGCGTGGCGGAAGGCCAGTTCCACCTCGAGGGTGGCGGCTTCATGGGACGAGTGCTCAAGAAACTGTTCCGGGCTATTGATCGCCCGTGGAAAATGTATCCACTGGGTGTCGTCTTTGGACTCGGCTTTGACACGTCCAGCGAGATTGCCATCCTCGGCATTGCCAGTATTCAGGCCGCACAGGGCACAAGTATTTGGGTCATCCTCATTTTCCCCGCCCTGTTTACCTCGGGAATGTGTCTACTCGACACCACAGACGGCGCCCTCATGCTCGCTCTGTACACATCCAAGGCATTCTCACGCGATCCGGTGGCCATTCTGTACTATTCCATCGTCCTCACCGGAATCACTGTCGCTGTCTCTGCGTTTATCGGCTTGGTTCAGGTTCTGTCTCTAGTGCAAAACGTGGCGGAGCCGCAGGGAAGGTTCTGGGACGGCGTCGAGGCCATCGGTGACAACTTTGACATTGTCGGTGGGTGCATCTGTGGCGCTTTCTTGCTCGTCGGCATTGGCTCCATTGTTATATATAGGCCATGGAGGCGACAAGCAGATGCGGACGAGGAGAGGAACGATGGCGATGCAGGGACAGTCATAGCCACGGATGATGGCTTGACGAGCGGAGACGCTGTGGCCCGCGAGTCAACGCCGCTGCTGGGCGTTGACCAGACACCCGTCGGCAATGCCACTGATAGTAGCCAGGTATGAGGGCACGAACACGGCCTTGGATCCAAGGTGAAGCATACCGTAGACAAACTCTGGGATACAATGTTCTCGATAACACTAGAGTCACGATATTTGCCTCGGAATCAGGACGAAGCATCTATGTGTCTACAACCACATACCTTCCTGGCGAAAAGTGGCCTTGCAGTTGGCACATCGAATGTCCTCGTTTCCCTTCAACTAATACGTACGCGCAGGAGCGTGACAAGTCGCATCCTGCTCCGCCCCTACCATTGACTAAGTCGCATACTTCGCCCGTCCGGAGGAGGCTAGAGTTGGCTGAGATGAACGTAGGCTGAGGCGGTTGGAGCGAGTCATATTCATGTATGCAATCGCAGGGCTGAACTGGCGTATTATGCTGACAAAATGTCTTTCGAGCGGGCCTGGGGAGCAAGGCACAGGAAGCCGGTCCCCTACGGGGCGCGCCAATACTTTTGGGAACGAGTCTTGCAGATCCTATAATTCAGGCTAGATAAAGGCTAGTCTAGATACACCAGCTCATTTCGTTCAACCCGAAACAGTTATTCATCCTTTCCCTGAAAATATCACGATCCGCGCAGATTCTGTTGTTGCTCAGTATGACTGCCTGCGTCAATGAGATAGGGGGCTCTTCACTCAACTCCATCAGGCCTTGGTGTATCATCTGTCTCTTCAACAACCTGCGCTTTCTCTCCTCTTGAGCTCTCATTCTAGCCACGTCAGCGTCCGATTCGAGACTCAAAAGTCTTTCTTCAATCACTTGGATTTCATCTTTCAGCCTTCTGGCCTCTTGCTTATCGCAAGAGTCACAAAGCAACCGATCATCTGCCTCGAAAAGCTGACAACCCAGCTCTACTTGCCTCTCTTCCAGATCACACACCCTTGCCCAGGCTGCGGACGAGTGCCTTCCCACCTCTAGAGAGTCTTCCACTTCAAGGATTGAGTTTTCCAACGTCCAGTCAGTCTCTGTCTTGAGGCCTGAACACGTGCTGGTCTAAGAAGTAGGCGATCAGCTTCTTCTCTGCATGGGAAGCAAAATACTGGCCAGGTTTGCCCTGATATCAACCTGAATCTGGCGCATCTCGGAACTCATGGTCAATTGTTCATGCGATGCAGTAGACTTTATGCTAATTTTATACTATATCGTAGGTAACGGGCGTCTGCGAGAACTGCACACACCGAAGTGAACGAGGATACTCAGTCCTTCGACGCACAAGCATATCGCTACCCGGCTACCAGCGCACCAACATATTCACACCAATTGCATCAAATCGAGGCGTAAAATTACGAGAACCGCGGTCAGAAGAATAACGTCTGGGAACTTCATGGTAAGCATGTATTAACAGGGGGCAGATTACCGTTTCTATGTTTTGCTACCGTTCGAAGTGTGGAAGAATAGCAACGGTAATTACGGGCTTGAAACTCGAATAGATTTATTCGAGAGATTATCTCTTAATTTATGATCTTCCCCGTCACACAGAATACGTTTGCTCATACTATGCACTTAGCAGGAGCTCGGAAGAACTTATATACGGATATTACAAACCTTTATATGAGAGTAACCTACTAACGTGGCAGCCCCTTAGATTTAGCCTATTCTCTTACAATATATGATGGTCAACAGATCAGGAGAGAAGGATGAAAATGAATTTTCTATCTGAAGAAGATGATGATTCTATAAGAAGAGGAAGAACGCAATAGCGCGAAGATGCTGCTGCCTTTCGAGGGCAGCTGTGGACCGAATGTGCAGCTTGACCAATCAAGGGAGTGACTGGCCTGTCACACAACACAGTATAACCCCCGCTTTTGATAGAGCCGATATTTCCCTCCCATCATTCACTGATGGTTGAGGAAACCCGATGCGGACACCGCTCAGGGTAGTCTAATTGACAGGCAGAATGCAGCCGTTCCAGTCACAGCTCCCTTCTGCTCCATGTACGGTGGAATATTAGATCAAAAACTGCCACACCGTATCAACCATCAATTGTACACTTGATTTTATCGTCGCAGCCTCAATCAAATAGCTGCCGTTGCCGCGCAATTGATTTCTATAGAAAATGAATTATCCTGCCATGATCGCGCGATACTAGGCTTCTTATTAATATGATTAATAACCAAGAACAAGGCACCTGACGAGGCACCCGACAAAGCTACTAAAAAAAGGGTCCGAGGGCCGCTGTAACATACTCCGTACTCCGTACTCAGTTCATAAAACCGACTTCTATTCTATCTACCCGGTAGCTAGTCTAGACCCGAACGTCACAGGTTGCGCGAAGGGTGGGTGTGCCTGCAGGCAATGATGAATGACATGGAACAAATGCGGATGCGATGGCTGCTGGGGTCACGGGGTTGGGCGATGGAGTACGGATAGATGGACGATGGAGTAGATGGACGATTGGCTCGATGCAGCGCGCCCACAAGCGGCCCCACACGTGACATGACACTACCAACTCGTTGCTCAAGATTAGAGGAGGGTCGCTCCCGCTTTTCTCTCTTCTTGTAAGCCTGGCCAAGCCTGCGGCTGCGCCGCGAGGCACAATCCCAGGTTATGATAGAGACGGCTTCTGCATGGCGTGGCATGGCGTAGCATGGCATACTCCAGGATCGCCTGACAACATATCTCGATCCCCCTCCTCTCTATCTTGCGTTGCCTCTCCTCGCCTCTCTTCTCCTCCCTCTCCCAACCCATCGGCCTGTCCCCTTCCGCCGCACCATGTCCGCCATTCTCGCTGCCATCATTTGCCCCATAGTCGCGTTGCTCCTCGCCGTCGTCGGCTGCTGCTTCTGGGCCAGCAGCCGCCGCCGCCGCAGGACCAGGAGGTTCGATGACAGCGGGCTGCGTGCCAAAATCAGAAAGTCCGGTCCGCGCGACACGCTCAAGGCGGCACTCGGGCGTGATTTCGGCGACAGAGTGCAGAAGAGTACGGCGGATATTCTGGCGAGCCACCACAGGTCTGAACTGCAGGGCTTCCGCGGAGGCGTCTGGATGTCCCATCACGCGACCACAGCCGGCGTCCTCGAGCACTGCCGCATCTTTGCTCACGAGCACATGTTTGAGATTCGCCCTCGACGCCCCGATGATGCATCAAAATTGGAAGCTGGCGAGCCTGCGCGAGAGGCGCTTGTCACCGTGGGCGATAGCGTCTTTAAGCATGGGGTATGTAGTGGATTGAGGCGAGTGGAAAAGGTGAAGCAGAACGGGACAGACGGAATGGGCCAAAGGCGGCCTCATATACACTTTCGGTGGAATGGTGGTGGTGGCCACAGGCTGCCCCATGTATTCGCCCCTGACTTTGTGCAGCGCGAAGTGTGGCCCCCTTAGGCCATGCGTTGTTTGCAACGGCGGCCTACATCACTTGATGTTATGTTGCTGGTACACAAAACATGAGAACGCCTTCGCTACACTGATGTGATCAGCAGGCCTCAGATAACCTGTAATACTGTGCTGCCGTAGCGGAATAGAGTTATGTTTTGGATGGAAGCGCACCGGTCAAATATCATGTTGCCATGATCCTTGCGGTTAGGTTAGCAGACACTTCCTTCACGAAGAGCTTTGGAGTTTAATCAACCTTGTTATATCACCATACGAACTTTCATGAGGATGTTGTACACATAGGTCAGGAGCGATCTCCGGTGGCCGTCTCCTGGTGTTTGGCAGCAGACGCGAAATGCCCATCCGGCGCAAACCCTACCGAAGTAACGCAGTCGCCGTGATCCCAATTGTAATGGCTAATCAATGACAGGAAATTTGTGATTATCAGATCTTGAATGAAGGATCATCGAAAGACGCTGAAAGTTCCTCAATAGGTGTTCACAGTCTCCTCGAGCGCTCAAGAGGCTCCCATGTATTTTCGCTGTCCGCATAATTCTTGCATTTGACAAGATATTCAACTTTTCCGTCAATAAATTGTTCAGCAACGATTTGTTCCGGCTCGCAGAGTTCCTGTATCCTCGCTCTCTGAAATATTCGCGTGCGTACTAGTTCGATTTTCTCACTTATGAATAAGCGCAGTATGCGTGTCTCAAGCATCTCTTTTTCTTCTCGAGTTGCTTATCTAGCGGTTTTTTTTTCGTGACTGCAACTTGCGTAGAAAACGAGTTGTCGCTGGCCCCGCTGCTGTTTTATAGGCTAGTTGAGCCACTAATTATTTCGCAACCTAACCGTCTGGTTTGTGATCAATTTAGCACAAGAGGTGCCGTTTTAAAGCCAAAGGGATCCAAGCTAATATCAACTACATCAGCTTGAAGGAATTCCGCGGCACCTTGTTGCCGAACGGCTTCTTCCTCATACAGACAAGAAGATGTGTAGGCAATGGCTTAGCGCTGCGAGTTATATTTCTCGAACTACGACGATATTGAGGAACTCAACCCAGGGATCGACGTCGATAGAATGACCCCCCGCGGCGACAATAGCACCGACCTACCCTAGCGTCGCAAGTTTGGCCAAAGGAGGGTATGTGATTAAAGGCTTGGTTCCGTGCTGTCGAACTCTCAGTGCGGCTTATCCTTATTGTAATCCTCAAACAAACGAATGATATTTGAGAGGTCGACATACGCAAAGGCCTGTGTATACCGGCACCAAAAAAATTAAACTGCGTCGAACAGCGCACAAGAGAGCACGACACAGAGCGCTTCGACCACTATGTATAATGCTTAGAGTTAAGTACAACTGAACATTGTCGACCTTCAACCTTCAACCTTCAACAACTACTAAGGCTTACCACACAGCGCGATTGACACCAAAGCTAGCAAGATGTCCGCCATTGACATACAGATGATCACCTTCCTCCAGGCGACTGTTTCATTTATTTTCATCTATCAACGCAGTGCGTATCGCTTGGCGCACGTCGACGATCTTCTGACAGCACTTCTCCGTCTCAGCCAGTCCGCCATGCGTGACCTGGGGTAGGAAGTACGTGCAAGTGGCGCGGGCCTGTCTTCAACAGACTACTACTCTTGTGTCGCTGACACGGCTAATGACCAACGACAGTTGTCTGCCCCTGGCATGCCACTTATGCCTAGGACTTCTGAACCTACTGCAGGTGGGCTATGTGTTGCCAAAGTCACCTCTTCGTTCAAGCTCCACGACGTTTTGCACACTCGTTCGACTGGGCACAATGACGACGGCACTTACACCGACCACCATCCCCAGTGTGGTTCTCCCATCACGCCATCAATGGACCAGGTATCTTATGCAGTAACAAGGGTTGAGTGCGTCCAATGGACTATGGCCTGGGAGGCGTGGACCGGGGTCGGTCACGTTTGGCAGATCTGACTTGAGGAGAAAGACGGCGTGATGTGGTCGGGTGGCCGGTGTTGGACGCCAAGAAGGGGTGGTTGGATGATGTTGATCACCCCACTGGCCAGCCTACTGCATCTTGCAACCTGTTGTCTTTCCTCTTCAAAGCCAATTTCTGCGAAGCCTGACCGAAACCCCTGGTGTATGCCTCCAAGGCGTAGGTCATTACTCACACGCCCACAACCTTTGTTCAACACCTCTTAACGTGAGCAAAGGTGTGTCTGCGCTCTCCACTTGCACGCTATCACACGATATCAGCAGGGGTTTAGCTCCCTTTCCCACCCCTCACAAGAGGATATTTCAGGTATCGCAACAAACAAGTAAGTGAACACGTTATACGCAAGTCCCATGGAAAACAAGAAAACAAGCTAGGCTTCTGACTGGTCATTCGTACGGAGGGACTCCAGTCGGACTAGTGGACCTCCTGGGTAGGGCGGAGACCAGCTGCCCACCCTCAGTAGGAACAATAGGCTACATGACGCTAGTATAAAGCCAAGGCGCCGGCGGGCCAAGTAGGGCAGCGGCTAGGACGGAAATTAACGCCGCTACGGAGTAGTTATAAACACGCGCTAGTTCCCTGGTTTTCGCTTCCTTTCTAATTTCTTTTGCTTACCTCACGTATAAATTACTCGGGCATACGTAAGGGAGGTCACACAAGCCAGTCACTAGCGAACCCTAGTAAAACCCTCTTGCGACTCCGAAGTTTAGCTTAGACTACGGCTATAATCAGATATAATAAAGGGAGGAAAACCCTGCGAGGAGCTCGTCAGCAATCAAACCCGTCATCTACGGGTCCCTGCCTTTGAATTGATCTTCTTCGTCATCTCAGCTTCTGTGCTGCAAGCACGCAGTGAATTCTCAGTGTTACTGTCCACACCTCTTCGCTCTTCTCACAACGCCCTCAGGCCCGCGAACCGGCCTTGACAACAGAACACTCCACAACGCCAACAACAAAACCAAGGCAGGCATTTGGGTTAGCAAGTGTAACTGTGAAATGCCCAAAAATGAGCATAGATCTTGAATCGCAATTCTATACACGATCATCGGTGCCAAAAGACATACTACTCAACCACTCCGACAATTCAAAACCCGCATGTTCCGTCCCAGTAATAGAGAGAAAAGCGTGTGCCTGACAGTTAGCTTCCATCGTAGAGATTCGCCCATCCACCTCATAGTCAGCGAAGCAGGTGGCACAAAGATCCACATCGACGCAGGCCCGACATATTTGCCTTGCCATCCCAACGCGAATTTGCCCACGACAGCCGTCGCAGATGATTCCCCCTTCTGATTGAATTTCATAAAGTTGGAGGTTCTGACCGAAAGCCTTAATAGCATCACTGTCCTTTCCGACAGATAACAGCACTCGACCAAGGAGGCCAAACAGAGCGGGGAAATGCATGCCATACTCCCCGCAGAGCGCCGATAGCGAGTCGATCTCTCCGATCTGAACGTTTTGACTTCGTGCAGTCTTTCTCAAACTTCGATCTGCACTTCCATTCTCGAGGAACGCTTGGTAACGCTGACGGTGAATTTCATAGAGGCACTGGATATTCTCGACGTCGAGTCCATCTCCGCTGATCTTCAAGATACGGTTATAAATTTCTGCAGCTTCATCGAGGTTTCCTTGCTCCTTCCAAATATGACCAATGAGGCGAAGAAGAGCAATAGTAGATGGGTGAGCAGAGCCAAATAGAGACTCAAAAGAGGATATAGTTCCCTGGCAAAGCTCTCTTTCTTTGTCTGCGGGTGCCTCCTGAAAGCGGTGAAGAAAGGCAACGAATAATAGACTCGTAGCATTTGAGCAAGCGATTTGTGAATCATTATGTTCGGGTCCACGAGCTTTTGCCATCTGCATATAGGCAAATTTCGAAAGAGAAGCAGCGTCGTCAAGCTTGCCTTGATCGACCAGCGTGATAGCGAGGTTGGCCATGGCTGAGATAGTGTCCGGATGCTCCTCGCCTAGGATCCGCCTCCTCTTGTCGAGAACCTCCGATTTCATCTCGGCCGCCTCCGCCAGCTTGCCTTGATCGCCTAGCGTGTTAGCGAGGTTGTTCATGGCTAAGATAGTGTCCGGATGCTCCTCGCCTAGGATCCGCCTCCTCTTGTCGAGAACCTCCGATTTCATCTCGGCCGCCTCCGCCAGCTTGCCTTGATCGCCTAGCGTGTTGGCGAAGTTGGCCATGGCTGAGATAGTGTCCGGATGCTCCTCGCCTAGGATCCGCCTTATCTTATCAAGGACCTCCGATTTCATCTCGGCCGCCTCCGCCAGCTTGCCTTGATCGCCTAGCGTGTTGGCGAAGTTGGCCATGGCTGATATAGTGGACGGATGCTCCTCGCCTAGGATCCGCCTCCTCTTATCGAGAACCTCCGATTTTATCTTGGCCGCCTCCGCCAGCTTGCCTTGATCGCCCAGCGTGTTGGCGAGGTTGGCCATGGCTGAGATAGTGTCCGGATGCTCCTCGCCGCGTAGCATCTGCATCCTTGACAGTACTTCCTGCCAGATTCTAAATGCTTCCCTCCATTGTCCTACTTCGACGAGAAAGTGGCCATTTTTCTCCAGAAGATCCAGTCCAAGTCCGTTGTCCAAGCTTTCGGTCGGAGTTTTCACTGCTCCCTCGAAGTTAGCCATGATGTGTGGGACTATCCGTTGTCGAGAGAGCGGATCTTTTCCGCCGTTCTGTGTCATAGTTGATAGAAGCATAAGGGAGCGAATCATATATAGACTCCGCTCCTCCACCGACAGCCTTTCAAAAATCCATGCGTGCACAAGCTTATGCATGCTGTAGCTGTCGTCGGATATTTCCTGGAGAAGTCCGTAAGAGAGAAGAGTTTCGAAGCATTCCTCAATCGCATACATATCGGGAGCACCATCCTCGAATATGCCGTAGTGCCACATAGCACTTTCC